TGATATGGTGGAATAAGGGTGAATTTGTACTGATATGGTGGGATCAGTTGCACGCCGCAACCGGTGAAATAAGATGGATTGATACGGTAAAATAAGGGTGAATTATGATACTGATTTTGTTATATAATGGGATCGGGTTGCGCACCGCAACATATATTTATTTGTTTATGATTGTGATATTATTACGTGGAATAAGGGAGGATTGTGCTGTACGGTGGAATCGAGTTGCGCGCCGCAACAACCTATGTGCTTCTATTTCTCCGTACTGTGTTGGTTCTCAATATTTTCATGTGGAACTCTAACGATTGGTATTCTGATCGGTACTGTTTTCCTTTAAGGATTTAGCTATTTTCTTCAGTTAACCGTCTTATTTCGTTCTGTATTTCTTTCTCCTGTTTTATTATATACTGCGTACAGATTGTAGTTTAAGTGACCTGCCTTAGTCTCATCACTCTTCGTCGAGATTAGGCTCGGCACTTACAAAGTACATGGGGTCGGTTGTACTCATACTACACACTGCACTTCTTGTGCAATTTTTGGAGTCGGTCCAGTGGTGGTTATTAGCGTGCTCGGATTGGCCAGCTTGGGTAGACTTGAGGTACAGCTGCTCAGCGTCCGCAGCTCCTAGAGTCCCCTTTCCTTTTATTTAGCTGTGTATTTTCCTTCTGACAGCTTTATGTTTATTTCAGACTCTTGTTTGTACTATTCTAGTAGCTCGTGCACTTGTGACACTAGGTCCAGGGTTGTATCAGATATTTTAGTTATTATAGCTCCCGCACTTTACTTTGGATTATTGCAGTTATTTCAGTTCTTTCTCATTATTTAATATAAACTGTTGAAAAATGGATAAATTGTTCTAACGTTGTCTTGCCTAGCAAGTGAAATGTTAGGCACCATCACGGTCCCGACAGTGGGAATTACGGGTAGTGACAGTGGCTTAGGGGGTTGATCCAATATACTGTGACAACCACTACCGACCAGTAATTCAAGCCACGGTTCATCCGTCTTCTGCTAAGAAGAACAAGTAAGTTTTCTGTTTATGATTTACGCGCTATCTAATGTGTTTAGATTTATCGCCTTCCTTCACTTATGATGTGAAACCCATCGCCTACATAACTACTGTAGGATGTTGAAGTTGACTTTAATCCGACTAACAAAGTTTTCCTTCATCTCAATAGCTCATACAACATTTGTAAGCTACTTCCTAGCTCTCTAAGCTCAAAGGACTTTTCTTAACCTATAATGACTGTCCTTCTCATCTATTTTCTCCTTGTTAATTGGTTTCAATTACATTTTGCCTCCATTAAGAACTAGACTCAAGTTACTCTATAAATCAAACTCCAAAAATATGTGGAGTTTTGGGGATAGCGTGAGAGAATTCAAGGAAGAAAGAGACTAGAGGAGAATTGATGCTCGTGAGTACCGAGAATTAACCACTAACAATCATCTAATCGAAAATTTCAAAGTACAACAATGGATGGAATGCTGGATCCTGTGTTCCGTACGCAATAACAGTTGGGATCCTGAAGGGAACAAATTAAAGATTTGGATGAACTTTTTGAAGTGAAATGAGCGTAAGGTTTGTCCACAACATCTTCAAAAAGATCTTTTACCTTTGCAACATATTGCTAAATTGTATGTTCTGGAGAAATCAAATCCAGGACGACACTATTATTAGCTAAGTGGAAAGGTCAAAAAATACAAGAGCAATCAATACAAAGAGTCGTATCTCTTACTTTGGTTAAATCAATGCCAGATTATGATGACTTTTAAGCCTTCATCCTCTAGTTTAAAAACATAGCTTGACAAGCGCTTAAACTTACAGGAGAGTGATTTTTCTTAAACTTATTAATGTATTTTTCTTTTTCTTTTCATACGTAACTTATGGGGTAATGTATGATGAGCCTATGGTTTTTTGTTAGCATTAGAGACTATTTTTGTGTTTTAACAAAGCAAAGACTTCCTGCACTTCTTGTGCACACTTTCTTGCTGCTTGATCTCTTGTAGCGCGTCTGTTTCTATTAGCGTCCTCTCCTACGGCGCATTTCCCAAAAAGAAAATTATACTTTTCTCTTTGAAACTAAAAACAAGATATGAGCATACACCTATACAGAAGTTCTCTTCTTGAGTGAACACAAAGAGCAAAAAAAAGCTTTCTCGTCACCTATATACCACTAAACCATCTTACTTTTGAAGATACACCAGAAAGCAAGAATATGTAAGTGGAAGTCAGAAATACTCTCCTTTCGGAATTTAGACTACCTCTATGTTGGTGGAGGCAACGGCGCAACGCCTTTACAGAGAAGATGATTTGTCAGCATAAGAAAGCATTTTCAAACTAATGCCACATCTTCTACACTGAGAAGGCCAGTGTAAAAAGAAAAGGAGTAAGGTCTTAGGAAGGAGCACAGTGGAAGCAGCAATTCCAATTTTGCATTGCTATTTATAGGACAAAGTGAATCAGAATACACCGGTTGGCATTTAATGCGTAACCATATTGTACAATAGGGAACTGAGTACATCAATGCAATCATCAAATAAGAATCCGACTTGATTAATGAGGTTGCTCTAGTGGCAAGAGGACTCCACTTCCAACCAAGATATTGGCAGTTCGAGTGGTTAAGGAAGCAACGCAGTAAAGGGCCACTGCTGACTCATACGCTGGGGGTTTTGAGTGCAAGATTTACCAAAAAGAAAAATCAAACTTAATATAAGCAATAAGGAATAACTCTTTACTATCTACAATCTATTAGTACTTCTTTACTTCTAACAGCAGTAAGTAATTAGTGAATTTGGCATTAAGATATACAAGAAACTACTAAAAAAAATTAAGGAGGAGAAGGCACATACGTTTTAGACAAAGCATCAAATATAGTCTGAGCTTCAGCAGTGACACCAACGCCAAATCTCTCAGCATCTATCTGCGCTTGTCTGCAAATATTCAATTAAATAAATTCCCAATTCACAAAATAGAATAGCATCTTTCCCGAAGAAGGAAATTCACCTAATAGCAGAATCTTCTCTAGATTGAAGGCTATTGAGATCAAGAAAACATTTATTGGTATCAAGTGGGTCTTGGCCTTGACCAAGAAAACTGAACTCTTTAATGTAGTTGGCTTTCAATAACCTTATGTCTCTCTTTGGCCCTGATGCAGGTACCCCTTCTTGTAATTTCAAACAAACAGTCAAGGAAATTTCAAGAACCAATAAAAAAGAAAGTTAAAAACAATAAAATCAAATGGGAAATGTGAATTAAAGGATATGAAGGACGAGGATGTTGGAGGGTTTGTCAAAGGCGATAACTTGGGCTTCAAACTCATCGCCTAAAGAAGTCTTGATGGATAAAATGCATCCAACTGCGAATTCTTCGTTGTTGTAAGCTTCCATGGCAGCAGGACGCTCTGCAACTGAGATGAATGAGAGAAACACGCTCTTCAATTCTTGCTTTGTGAAGTTAACTTTATTTTTTGAAAAAAAAAAAGGACAATTTGTTAGGATTTAGAGTGAATGTGTATGAGTTTTACTAAATAGAGGGGTGTATTGTAAATCATCCCAAAATTCAATAAAAATTTCCTCTCTTTCTTTCTGTGCAATATTATTCTTCTACTTTTATTGTTTTATAACACGTTATCAGCGCACGAGACTCTACCGTCTCAAGAAGATTAAGCAAATATGGATATTCCACAAAGCAAACTTGGATCAAAGTTCAATTGTAAAAATATTTGTTTAATTGATTCATGTACGACACATACAATATTCAAAGAGAAAAAATATTTCTCTCATTTAAATATGTGTAAGACAGATGTTACTACAATTTCTGGTAGTAGTAAATTAATTGAAGGCTCTGGAAGAGCTACTATAACTCTGCCTAAAGGAACAATACTTATCATAGATAATGCAATGTTCTCCTCCAAGTCCAAGAGGAACTTGTTGAGTTTTAAAGATATCCGTCGAAATGGATATCATATTGAGACAATAGATGAGAATAATCTTGAATATCTCATCATTACCAAGAATGTCTCTGGCCAAAAGAGGGTTATTGAGAAGTTCCAATCTTTATCTTGTGGCCTGTATTGGACAAGAATTAGTGCAATTGAGGCACATTCTACCATAAACCAAAAGGCGTATTATTAAACATGTGTACTCTTTTTCCTTTTCTAGAATTTTTTTCCCATTGGGTTTTATTTTAGTTAAGGTTTTAATGAGACACATTACTTATCAAGTAGACATTCAAGGGGGAGTGTTATGAATAGAATTCTATTTAGAGTGAATGTCTATCTTGTAGAGAGTTTTACTTTGTGGCTAAGTCATTTTCCCCCCTATAAAAAGATGGGTCTTACCCCATTGTAAATCGTCCCAAAATTCAATAAGAATTTTCTCTCTCTCTTTCTTTGTAATATTGTTCTTCTACTTTTATTGTTTTATAACACAATTAGATTTCTTCTAGTCATGAGCATCTCTAGCTATATATATTAACTCAGTTTGGCCATAAAATTTGGAACTTTTAGTTCAAAGAAAAATTAAATATTTATTTGTTTATAAATTTTAACCATTTTTTGACAATTTTTAAAAATAAAATTTTCAAATCCCAAAAACTGCACTAGAGGTGTTTTTGAAGTTTTATACTCACAAAACTTCAAATTCTTTTCAAATAAAATGCATGACCAAATACAATTTCAACTTTCAAAAATTATTTTTCATCTCATCTTCAAAAACTCATTTTTTCAACTTTCAACCAAATCTATGTCGAAACGCTAGCTTAATTACCCGGATTCTTTAAAGTTTGTTATTTACCAAAGGTAACTATATATTATTTACAATTTATATACATCTCATTAAGGGACTTAGTTAAGTGCCTTTAATTAAGGGAGTAGCGCCTGAAATTAAGGAACTTAACTATACCCTTTTTTGTTTTCCCTTTCGCTGTATTTTGCGTTCAAAATTCGCCTCCGGTCGGCTCAAATCTAGCCAAAAATAATTTAATAATATCAAACAACGAAAGCAAATTCAATTTCAATTAGTAAAGCTAAGATCTTTACACCATTTCTATAAAGTCAACAAAAGTAAACCCGGACCCACCCGGTCAAAATTCGAGTCGAGGGTAGATCCCGACTATCCATAACCATATGAGTCCAAATATGTATTTGGTTTTCAAATTCGAGTCCAAATCAACTCTCAAATATCAAATTTTTATTTTTCAAAACATAGTAAAAAAAAATCAAAATTTATCTTCAAATCTCATGGTTTAGATGTTAAAATTCATAAATAATCATGTCATAATATCAAAATTGAGTAAAAATCACTTACCCAATAGCTTTATATGGGAATCCCCTCTTAAAATTGCCTTCCAACGAGTCTAGGGCTCATAGTGTAATAAAATGAGACTAAGTCCCGAAATTTCATCTTTTTGTTCAGCTCCAGAAATCGCAAATGTGACCAGGGGTTCGCAAATACGACCCCTCACAAGTGCGACCAATTGATCGCAAATGAGATGCCTGTTGAGCCTAGGGAATGTCGCGAAAGCGACACACACTTCATATTTGCAAAGTCAGCCTACGTCGAAAAGCGACATGTCCCAGCCCAGACCCATTTCGCAAATGTGACACTGGATTCGTAATTGCGAAGCTAGTCCCCATAGTCAATTATTGCAAATGCGATAACCACCTCACAAATGCGAACAGGATCCCGCATTTGCGAGGCTTGCAGCACCAGCAAAGAACCAGCAATTCTAAAACAAGTTAAAAACACACCGAAAAGCGTTCAAAACTCACTCGAACCCCCCGGGCTCTATACCAAATATTCACACAAGTCTATAAATATCATACGAACTCATTCCCGAGCTCAAAACACCAAAATAACATTTGGAACCACAAATCGAACACTGAAACACATAGAATTCACAATGAAACTCAAAAATCGCTAAAATCACAATCAAGCGTCTGATTCCTACCAAACCAACTCGGAATGACACTAAACTTTACACAAAAGTTTCAAATGACAAAACAGAACTATTCCAAGTTCATCAAAAATTCGAACTCGATAGCCATAAAGTTAACCAATGGTCGAACTTAGGAAATTTCTAAACCTTCAAATTGTCAACTTTCGGCGAAAAGAACAAAATCATCCTAGGAACCTCCAAATTGAATTCTGAGCATATGCCTAAGTCCAATATAACCATATGAACCAATTGAAACCATCATTTCGGAGTCGTTTTTTACAAAAATCAAACCTAGTTAACACCTCCAACCTAAGCTTCCAAACTAAGTACCAAATATTCCAAATCAATCCAAAATCTCACCGAAACCCAACCAACCATCCCCGCAAGTTATATAACCACAATTACACCTACGGGAGGCTTCAAAAGAGGAAATGGGGTTCAAGTACACAAAACAATCGATCGGGTTGTTACACTTCCAAAACCAATCAACCATCTTCCGCTCCTTCACGATCATAGCAGGTCTAACCTCAAGCCTGACATTAGCAACAAGCTGAACGGCCCCAACTGGTGGAACAATTGGAACTCCTAGAGTCTGAAACACAGTAGTGTCCTGCTCCGGAGTCAGCATAACTTTTCTGCTTGGACTGCACTGTACGAAGTCGCTCCTGAATCAACTTCACCTTCATCACAAACTAAACCTGTACCGAACAACCTAGCCTCACCCGACTCAAACCACCTAACCGGAGAACGATATTTCCTTCTATATAATACCTCATACGGAGCCATCTGAATATTAGACTGGTAGTTTTTGTTGTAGGCGAACTTTGCTAATGGCAGAAATTGATCCTACTAGCCTCCAAAATCTATAATACATGCTCTCAACATATCCTCCAAGATCTGAATGGTATGCTCGGACTGTCCGTCCATCTAAGGGTGAAATGCAGTACTCAACTCCACTTGCGTGCCTAACTCACATTGAACATCGGTTCAAAAGTGCAATGTAAACTGAGTGCCCCGATCCGAGATGATAGACACAGGCACACCATGCAGGCAGACAATCTCTCTAATGTAGATTTGAGCCAACTGCTCAGAAGTGTAGGAAGTCATGACAGGAATGAAATATGCAGACTTGGTCAGTCTATCTACAATCACCCAAATAACTTCAAATCTCCTTAAAGTTTGTGGAAAACCTACCACAAAATCCATAGTGATACACTCCCACTTTCACTCTGGTATATCTAATCTCTGAAGCAAATTGTCTAGTCTCTGATGCTTATACTTGACCTGTTGACAATTCAAACACCGCAAAACATACCCAACAATGTCCTTCTACATCCTTCACCACTACTAATGCTATTCCAGGTCACGATACATCTTCATAGCACTTGGTGAATAGAATATCTCAAAGTGTGAGCCTTCTTAAGAATCAACTCCCTCAAACCATTCATATTAGGAACACAGATCCGACCCTGAAGCCTCAAAACCCCATAATCACCAATAGCCACCTCCTCAGAACCACCTAACAACATTGTGTCCTTAATGACAAACAAATGGGGATCATCATACTGGCGAGCCTTGATGTGCTCAAACAAGGACGCTCGTGCGACAACACAAGCAAGAACTCTGCTAGGCTTAGAAATATCCAATCTCATGGATCTATTAGCCAAATCCTCAACATCTATAGCCAAAGGCCTCTCTACAACTAAATAAATGCCAAACTCCCCATACTCTCCGCCTTTCTAGCCAAGGCATCTACTACTATATTGGTCGGATAATACAAGATAGTGATATCATAATCCTTCAACAACTCTAACCATATCCACTGCCTAAAATTTGAATCTTTTTGCTCGAACAAATGCTGAAGACTCTGATGATCTGTGTAAAGCTCACAAGACACGCCATACAAGTAATGCCTCTAAATCTTGAGCGTGTGCACAATAGCCACTAACTCCAAGTCATGTACTAGATAGTTCTTCTCATGAGGATTTAACTAGCGTGATGAATATGCAATCACCCTACCATCTTGTATCAAGACACAACCAAGATGAACACGCGAAGCATCATAATAAATAGTATACACCCCCAATTCTAAAGGCAATACTAGAACTGCAGTCGTAGTCAAAGCAGTCTTAAGCTTCTGAAAGCTCTTCTTACACTCGTTAGACCATCTGAATAGAGCGCCCTTCTAAGTTAGCTTAGTCAATGGGGCTGCAATAGATGAAAACCCTTCACGAAGTGATGATAATAACCAACCAAACTCAAAAAACTCCTAATGTCTGTAGCGCTATAAGGTCTTGGCCAACTCTGAACTACCTCAATATTCTTTGGATCCACCTTGATCCCATTACTAGACACCATGCGGCTCAAGAATGCCACTGACTCCAACCAAAACTCAAACTTGGAGAACTTAGCATATAACTTCTTCGCCCTCAAAATATGGAGCACAATCCTCAAATGATGCTCGTGTGCCTCAGCACTACGGGAATATACCAAGATATCATCAATGAACACAATGAAAACAGAATCTAAATTAGGTTGGAACACACT